GCACTAAAACCTGTCTCAATCACCACCAACGCAGGAGTATGAGGAAATAGAGACAGCACTAAACCTGTCTGTCACCACCAAGGTAGGGGTATGGGGAAACAGAGACAGCACTAAACCTGTCTCAATCATCACCAAGGTAGGAGTATGGGGAAACAGAGACAGCACTAAACCTGTCTCATTCATCACCAAGGTAGGGGTATGAGGAAACAGAGACAGCACTAAACCTGTCTGTCACCACCAAGGTAGGGGTATGAGGAAACAGAGACAGCACTAAACCTGTCTCAATCATCACCAAGGTAGGAGTATGGGGAAACAGAGACAGCACTAAACCTGTCTCATTTACCACCAAGGTAGGGGTATGGGGAAACAGAGACAGCACTAAACCTGTCTCAATCATCACCAAGGTAGGGGTATGAGGAAACATAGACAGCACTAAACATGTATCATTCAGCCTTAATGCACCATTATGTAATAAGCCCACAAACAGGAATCACATTTTTCACCCTGCACTGTCCATGACTAACATGTAGACAAAGATCACATGTCATGTTGGAGACAAAGATCACATGTCATGTTGGAGACAAAGATCACATGTCATGTTGTACTGTCCTTAAATGATAACCCATAATTTCCTGTCACTGTTTTTACATGATATGCTCTCAAGTTCAGTTACTGACATCCTCCAGCATTGTGTGTGTACAAATGCAACCAAGTCTTGTCCATTTAGTGGATCATCAACAGTCTTTGTGTCTGGTCTTAGTGTATACTCTCTCAGACTTTGTTTGTCTTTCCCTTTACAGTACCACTTGTATCGCTGTCTAGCTCTCTTGCTGTCTATATTTCCCTCCAGTATGATTTTAGAAGAGTATTATGTCCTTTAACCCAACCCAATATTCCCCCTGTCTGGTTTTTCTTCCCTTCAGCAACTTCTAGGATCTGTGACTGCTCTTTATGAGCTATTGTGCTGTGCCGGCAAACATAACAGAGCTGTGAATCACTGTCTCTAGACTGCTCTTTATGAGCTATTGTGCTGTGCCGGCAAACATAACAGAGCTGTGAATCACCAGTGTCCAGTTTAATACACTACTCGTCACCTGAATGTTACAAGAACTGCATGAGACGAGTCTCAGTCAAACATCAGATCACCTGGGCTGCTCAAACACCAGACCACATGCAATTTAAATATTATACACAACAAGACAACAATATGAAGAAGGAACATGTCATTTTAAGATTTGTTAATTTACTTGTGACAGTTTCATAAAAACAGCATATGGAGTATACATAACAGCACGCAAGTATGTGTGTGTTTCTGCACACTGACAGCTGGCAACATGTGTCCAGCAGAAACTGCTCAGACAAAATATCTTAGCCAGCTCTAGGAGATGATCTAACAGAACATAAACAAACAATAGATGGGTAGATAAATGCCAGCTCTTGGAGATGATCTAACAGAACATAAACAAACAATAGATGGGTAGATCTATGCCAGCTCTAGCAGATGATCTAACAGAACATAAACAAACAATAGATGGGTAGATCTATGCCTGTTCTAGCAGATGATCTAACAGAACATAAACAAACAATAGATGGGTAGATCTATGCCAGCTCTAGATGATGATCTAACAGAACATAAACAAACAATAGATGGGTAGATCTATGCCAGCTCTAGAGGATGATCTAACAGAACATAAACAAACAATAGATAGGTAGATCTATGGTAGCTCTAGAGGATGATCTAACAGAACATAAACAAACAATAGATAGGTAGATCTATGCCAGCTCTAGAGGATGATCTAACAGAACATAAACAAACAATAGATAGGTAGATCTATGCCAGCTCTAGAGGATGATCTAACAGAACATAAACAAACAATAGATGGATAGATCTATGCCAGCTCTAGAGGATGATCTAACAGAACATAAACAAACAATAGATGGGTAGATCTATGCCAGCTCTAGCAGATGATCTAACAGAACATAAACAAACAATAGATGGGTAGATCTATGCCAGTTCCAGAGAAAGATCTAACAGAACATAAATAAAATGATCAGACAGAAGATAAACAAACACTAGATGGGTAGATCTATGCCAGTTCCAGAAAAAGATCTAACAGAACATAAATAAAATGATCAGACAGAACATAAACAAACACTAGATGGGTAGATCTATGCCAGTTCTAGCAGATGATCTAACAGAACATAAACAAACAATAGATGGGTAGATCTATGCCTGTTCTAGCAGATGATCTAATAGAAGATAAACAAACAATAGATGGGTAGATCTATGCCAGTTCCAGAGAAAGATCTAACAGAACATAAATAAAATGATCAGACAGAACATAAACAAACACTAGATGGGTAGATCTATGCCAGCTCTAGAGGATGATCTAACAGAACATAAACAAACACTAGATGGGTAGATCTATGCTAGTTATACAAGGTAAATGCCAGCTATAAGCTGATGTGACCTGCTACTGGCTGTACACAACGAGAAGGTATAGCTCTTCTTTATATACACACCAATAATCCAGCTGACAGTCAATGCTCACCGCAGCAAACTTTGTTCCCCTTCTCCACTTGCATTCACCCACTTCTGTCTTGGCAACAACAAAACAAACAAACAATACTAATGGTGATAACCTAACACAACATACAAAAAATGTCAATAGTGATAATAGAGCATGCAAACTATGTTGCTGGTGATTACATAACATACAAAGCTGTAAAATAACATACAATGTTGATGGTAAAAACTTCATGTGCAAACACATTTGCCAGTGTGACAAACAGACAGTACTTCCATCTGTTGTCTCCTGTATACGGTCTAGAAATGATGATCTGGTCTTGCCTTGACAGTTGATGAATAAACACTATCTGACATATGGAAACACACATTCGACATCACACACAGCCGAATACACATTCAACATCCTATACAGTCAAACAAACTGACACCACAAATGCTCGTATCAAACATATACAGTGTGTACAATCATATAGAAGACAACATGACATACACTGATACAAATGCATGACATACATTCAGTGACGAAGTGTTCTGTATCAACAAAGTGCTGTCCAAACATCATGTATCAGTCAACAAAGTGCTGTCCAAACATCATGTATCTGTCAACAAAGTGCTGTCCAAACATCATGTATCTGTCAACAAAGTGCTGTCCAAACATCATGTATCTGTCAACAAAGTGCTGTCCAAACATCATGTATCTGTCAACAAAGTGCTGTCCAAACAACATGCATCAGTCAACAAAGTGCTGTCCAAACATCATGTATCTGTCAACAAAGTGCAGTCCAAACAACACATTTCTGTCAACAAAGTGCTGTCCAAACATCATGTATTTGTCAACAATTTGCTGTCAAAACATCATGTATCTGTCAACAAAGTGCTGACCAAACATCATATATCTGTCAACAAAGTGCTGTGTAAACATCATGTATTGGTCAACAATTTGCTGTCCAAACATCATGTATCTGTCAACAAAGTGTTATCCAAACATTATGCATCTGCCAACAAAGTTCTATACAAACATCATGTATATGTCAACAAAGTGCTGTCCAAACATCATGTATCTGTCAACAAAGTGCTGTCTAAACATCATGTATTGGTCAACAAGTGCTGTCCAAACATCATGTATGGACCAACAAAGTGCTGTCCAAACATCATGTATGGACCAACAAAGTGCTGTCCAAACATCATGTATGGATCAACAAAGTGCTGTCCAAACATGCTGCAGAGCCAGCATACACAGCCAGGTAATAAGTGACTGTCTGCCGCTGGTGTCCTTCACTGGATGCTGGCCGATTATCTTCTATAGTTTCCCCTTTTGCTGATGACAGCATCCCAGAATATGTGGACAGCTGACAGCATGAGAAGGTTTCTAGCCATCTGACAGTGTCAGCAACAAGCAATGAGTGACAGCTGACAGTTTCAGCACCAAACAGTGACAGCTGACAGTGTCAGCACTGAACACTGACAGCTGAACAGTGCCAGAACCAAGCAAATATCTACTGGCTGGACAACAATGGTGTGCTAGCACTCAATAGCAACATCTAGAAACAGATCAGTGTCTCTGACCTTTCCTCACAACCAAGTGCTGCGACAGGTCACAGTCACACAGGTGCAGTCACACAGGTGCACAGTCACAATCACACAGCTGCAGTCACTGCTGAGTCACACAGGTGCACAGTCACAATCACACAGCTGATGGTCACTCAGCTGACAGTCACACAGGTGCACAATCACACAGCTGATGGTCACACAGGTGCAGTCAAACAGCTGACAGTCACAGGTGCACAATCACACAGTTGATAGTCACACAGGTGCAGTCACACAGGTGCACAGTCACACAGGTGCACAATCACACAGTTGACAGTCACACAGGTGCACAATCACACAGTTGACAGTCACACGGGTGCACAATCACACAGCTGACAGTCACACAGGTGCACAATCACACAGCTGATGGTCATACAGGTGCAGTCACACAGCTGACAGTCACAGGTGCACAGTCACACAGCTGATGGTGACACAGGTGCACAGTCACACAGATGGACAGTTTAGATAGCTTCATCAGCAGATCACAGGAACAGGAGAGAGAATACAAGTCCACATGTACCCAAGTGCACAGCATCAGCTGTTGTTGTTCTACCTATCACAGCAACTTATCACAAACTCCTCCAGCAGCCTACCTGCCAAACTTAGCACCACCTCATGTCCATTAGGGTTTGCTTACCTGCCAAACTTAGCACCACCTTAAGTCCATTAGGGTTTGCCTACCTGCCAAACTTAGCACCACCTCATGTCCATTAGGGTTTGCCTACCTGTGCCAGAGCTAGGCTTCATGACCCAGTGTGTTATTTTAAAAAAAAAAAAAAAACGTAGCTCCCAGTTTTGTGCACACAGCTAAGCATCCAGTGCTGACTATCTGACACCCTGACCTTGCAGTTCAAACACACCACACAAGAACCACTACTGACATCTACACCCAGGAGTCTGCTCCATTGGCTCCACTGCCACCCCCATCTCTGTTTAGATGCATGCCTGGGTGTCCACCAGAAACCATCACAGAATCATTGCTTGCATCATTTCTCCGTTTACTGGCCTTGTTCACCTGGGCATATAAAGGTTCTGAGTTGCTCAGGGGATCAGCACTATATGACCTTGACACAGGTTCAGCCTGGAAGAGAGAAGGTCACACAATCAATGTTTCCTCAACAGATCTGCACACTTCACACACCTCTCCCTCCAACAACTGGGAAACACCACCTTCCCTCCTACACAACAGGAGAACCACCCTCCCCCCTCTCCCCCATCACCTTCCCTCCTACACAACAGCCCCCCCCCCCCCCCACCACCTTCCCTCCTACACAACAGAACCCCCCCCCCCCCCCCACCTTAAAAAAAACTGTATAACTTAAGACAACCTCCCCTCTAAATTGGGAACGACAACCCAAACAGAGTAAGATACACCATCATCATGTGCCCTGCCAACTGGTGTAGAGGCTCATGCATCTCCACAAATCATGATCCCTGGTTGCCTGGAACAGCTCTCTTAATGATATCCCTCCATGCCATCGTTTTAGGCCATCCAGCATCATCTCTCTTGTTCTGCTTCTAACCCTCTTTCCACTGATCCTTCAAGTTGTCATAATGTTTTCCAATACCTTTTTCTCATTACGTGGCCAAAGAACAGTGTCTGTCTCCTTCTTATTGTTGTATAAGGATATCTACTTTCATTGCTTCTTTCAAACAATCATTGTCAGTCATCTTAGTGTAATGTTTATTTCTTGCAGCTCCGAGCTGCCCCCCCATGTCCATCAGTCAAGACAGAGACACAGAGTCATGTCTTTTGGCGTGCTCCTCGGTACGGTAAGTGCTGGGCACAGCATTGATAACATCACTTCTGTCCAGTACTGGACCAGCCATAGCAACCACAGTGTCAGCAAGATAGTCTGTACACTCGTTCCCTTGAACACCCACATAACTTGGCACAAACAAAGATAAAGGCTAGGGCAGATATTCGTGAAGTGCTTAGTGTTGCAATCCATTCTTGCCTGATAAATATGGCTTGGATTTTTTAAAGCATATTCATCGACTCACTAAGAATGCATACGTGTGTGAACTTGTGAGTACCAAGCCATGCTAAAGCCATTGTTACAGCCATAGTTTCGACTGTAAGGCTACTAGTTGTAACAGCAAAGGCACCATTTATCTCCTTGATGGTTTTCCCACTGAGCTTACTGTGAATGCCCATGCACTTTGCTTGCCCCACAGTTAGTTTAACCAACACAGAACAGGCGTCATCAGTCGTTTTACACTTGTGCAGCTTTGAGGAGATCGGAGCACCTATGGATCTGTCCGGAGCGCTGTGGTGATAATCCTTTCTAATCACTCATCACTGTTAGTTAGTCTGGTCGTCCAAGGTATTCATCTCAGAAATTACATCTCTGTTGCTTCCAAATGCTTCTTAATTTGTTCACTGACATTCCAAGATTCTCTGCCAAACAGCAGAGGAGGTTCTAGTAACATACATAGAAGTATGAAATATGAATGCCCCAGGTAAAAGCCAAAAGTTCAAGCGGACAATTAACCAGAACCTTTGGCCGGAATTCACAGCTGGTGAACGAAGAAGAAATGGGAAGGGTGGAGGACTTTTGTGTCAGTGAATCCACATCACTAGCCAGAATGATAGACTTGGGAGTTAAGATGGGCATGGCAAAAAAACAAGACGCACACCAGGCACATGAGAAGACTTATTAATCAACACAAAACTGGTACTATTAGCTATTTGACACTGGTGTTTATACTGAGGGGAGGATCTGAGCACCTATGGACATGTCCTGAGTGCAATGATGATAACCCAACTAACTAACTAACTAACATAGAAGTAATTGACTTTTGCTACCAAAGAAAAAAAAAAAAAAAGTAACTTCTATACTGTCTAATACTCAATTAAAAATTATCTTGTTTTCCCTCTTCTGATCCCTAAGTGAGTTCTGGGGCCTAATTATGGAGGGAAAGGGGGGGGGGGGGGCACTGTCTTCCTAACAGGCATAAGAGTCAGCTTTCTTCCAACAAAATAGACAGTCTGATCTCATCTCACACCATCTCTAACAAAATAGACAGTCTGATCTCATCTCACATCAATTTGTGACCCCTTGAAAATAAAGTTTGTTCGTTTGTTCAACATGCTCTGTGAGTCAGTGACAATCATGGCATGTGTGTACAGATAATTCTCAAGCCAGCTGAAGGCAGCAGTGACTGCCTCCACCTCCATTCTCAAACTAGACGTTGTGATATCATATAACAGGCTTTGTTGCACTAAGCAACGTCTATTCACCTTTGCTATAAACCCCCATGCACTTTGTCTGCCCCTCAACACAGAGCCATCTGTGTAGATAATCACATCACTTGGGAGCGAATTGTCATGAATCATTTGTTGAACTTCTGATTCTGCAGCACCAGCTGGTCAGTTTCTGCACTCAAACATAAAGTGATAAGAACCCTATACAAGCCTGAAACTTGCTCGGACACTTTGACCCATTCCTCATCTTGCAAAAATTTATCAAGCCTGCACACATCTGATTGTGTCTTCAGCTTGCACCATCTAGGACCTTCCTCTTTTCATTTTATGACCCTTAGATCTACCAAGGGCTTAATGCAAGAGGTACTTCTTGTCTGCAGCTACTCTGAGATATGACTTTGCCTGCAAAACTTTAAGCCTATCTACAATAGTAGGCAGTGCAAGCATATATCACTTACATACTACCGGGGTATCTTTTGTACATTATCACCCGCATCATTCTCTATGCGTTCAAGTTTTATCAGCTGACTCTTTGATTTAGTAAGCATTCAAAGTCCATGATCGATTACCGGCAGGTCACATGCTAGAACACTGTAAACAACATTCCTTGTTCCATATCCAACGCTGCAATAATCTTGAGAGCATTGAGTCCTTTTTTTGGCATTTTCACCGCAACTGCCTCCACATGATTCCTATAGGACAGACTTCTGTCAAAAGTGACAGCCAGGTACCTCAGTTTGCTTTCTCTTTTGATGTTATCGTTATTAATTGTAAGGCCTAGAACATTAGCTCTAGTGTGACATGACTTGGAACATTAGCTCTAGTGTGACATGACTTGGAACATTAGCTCTAGTGTGACATGGCTTGGAACATTAGCTCTAGTGTGACATGACTTGGAACATTAGCTCTAGTGTGACATGACTTGGAACATTAGCTCTAGTGTGACATGACTTGGAACATTAGCTCTAGTGTGACATGACTTGGAACATTAGCTCTAGTGTGACATGACTTGGAACATTAGCTCTAGTGTGACATGGCTTGGAACATTAGCTCTAGTGTGACATGGCTTGGAACATTAGCTCTAGTGTGACATGACTTGGAACATTAGCTCTAGTGTGACATGACTTGGAACATTAGCTCTAGTGTGACATGACTTGGAACATTAGCTCTAGTGTGACATGACTAGGAACATTAGCTCTAGTGTGACATGACTAGGAACATTAGCTCTAGTGTGACATGACTTGGAACATTAGCTCTAGTGTGACATGGCTTGGAACATTAGCTCTAGTGTGACATGGCTTGAAACATTAGCTCTAGTGTGACATGGCTTGAAACATTAGCTCTAGTGTGACATGGCTTGGAACATTGGCTTGGAACATTAGCTCTAGTGTGACACGGCTTGGAACATTAGCTCTAGTGTGACATGGCTTGGAACATTAGCTCTAGTGTTACATAATATGCTAGTAATAGTAAATACAAGGGTATGGTCATACCGGAGATAAATTTGGGAAAAGAGGCACACCTCCTACAGGTGGTTTGGTCCTGTGCGGCTGTGGCTCATCCAGTGCAGCATAACCTGAGTTAAGTTCATTGAGAGGGATCTCATTCACCTGTGAAACAAAGTGAGCAGACACAATAAGATGAAGAGATAGTGAAACTGCATACATTTGATAGCATTAAAGTGTTGTACAAACTTGTATCCATGGCTACAAATGTTTGACAGCAACTCACACACACTGCAGCAACAAACTCATCTGGCTGGGTGGGGGAAGTGAAAGAGGGAATGACAGAGAGAGGGATAGAAAGAAAGATGGAATGAGAGAGAGGGAGAGAGAAAGGGGAATGACAGAGAAAGGGGAATGACAGAGAAAGAGGGAATGACAGAGAGAGGGAGAGAGAAAGAGGGAATGGCAGAGAAAGGAAGAGAGAAAGAGAGAGGGAGAAAGAGAGGGAATGACAGAGAGAGAGGGGGAGAGAGAAAGTGTAAAATGCAAAAACTTTATAAAAGAAAGAAATTGGCCTGCAGATGTGTATAACACTGCGTTTGTCTTATTCATCTCCTGTCACACACGATTTGATTCAAACATCTATCATTCATTTCCTGTCCCCACCTCTCCTTCTTCTCCTGTCAGATATGATCTGATTCATACATCTCTCATTCCTCTCCTGTCAGACATGATATGACTCATACATCTCTCATTCCTCCCCTGTCAGACATGAAATGACTCATACATCTCTCATTCCTCTCCTGTCAGACATGAAATGACTCATACATCTCTCATTCCTCTCCTGTCAGACATAAAATGACTCATACATCTCTCATTCCTCTCCTGTCAGACATGATATGACTCATATACCTCCCATTCCTCTCCTGTCAGACATGATATGACTCATGACTCATATACCTCCCATTCCTCTCCTGTCAGACATGATATGACTCATACACCTCTCATTCCTCTCCTGTCTGACATGATAAAACTCATACATCTCTCATTCCTCTCCTGTCAGACATGATAAAACTCATACATCTCTCATTCCTCTCCTGTCTGACATGATAAAACTCATACATCTCTCATTCCTCTCCTGTCTGACATGATAAAACTCATACATCTCTCATTCCTCTCCTGTCAGACATGATAAAACTCATACATCTCTCATTCCTCTCCTGTCTGACATGTTATGACTCATACATCTCTCATTCCTCTCCTGTCAGACATGTTATGACTCATACATCTCTCATTCCTCTCCTGTCTGACATGTTATGACTCATACATCTCTCATTCCTCTCCTGTCAGACATGTTATGACTCATACATCTCTCATTCCTCTCCTGTCAGACATGTTATGACTCATACATCTCTCATTCATCTCCTGTGATTAGTGAGTACTATTATCACAGATCCATAAGTGCTCCGATCTCCTCCTCAAAACTCCACAAGAGTAAAATGACTGATTACACCCGTTATGTGTTAATTAAACAGATGCCTTATGCCCTTGGTGAAATGTTCATATCTGGCTACTGCAGGCTGCACCCCCAGGTCCATCAACCTGGACAAGGAAACTGAGTCCTGCTTGCTGTCATGATCTCCTTTGCCATATACAGCTCCCATGACATTAATGTCAACACTCCTGTCTAGTGCTAGGCAGGTCATGGTAACCGCCTTGTGTGCCAGATAATCTGCAGGCTCGAACACCTGCATGGTCTGGCATAAAGGTAAAGACAAGTTATTCATGATGCACTTAATGAGAGAATCCATTAATGTCTGATGAAGCTGGCCTAGATTTTACGCATAATCACTGAATCACTCAGTATGTACTAATGTGTCATCACTGAATCACTCAGTATGCACGCATGTGTCATCACTGAATCACTCAGTATGCACACATGTGTCATCACTGAATCACTCAGTATGCAAGCATGGGTCATCACTGAATCACTCAGTATGCACGCATGTGTCATCACTGAATCACTCAGTATGCACACATGTGTCATCACTCAGTATGCACGCATGTGTCATCACTGAATCACTCAGTATGCACGCATGTGTCATCACTGAATCACTCAGTATGCTTGCATGTGTCATCACTGAATCACTCAGTATGCACGCATGTGTCATCACTGAATCACTCAGTATGCACGCATGTGTCATCACTGAATCACTCAGTATGCACGCATGTGTCATCACTGAATCACTCAGTATGCTTGCATGTGTCATCACTGAATCACTCAGTATGCATGCATGTGTCATCACTGAATCACTCAGTATGCATGCATGTGTCATCACTGAATCACTCAGTATGCTTGCATGTGTCATCACTGAATCACTCAGTATGCACGCATGTGTCATCACTGAATCACTCAGTATGCTTGCATGTGTCATCACTGAATCACTCAGTATGCTTGCATGTGTCATCACTGAATCACTCAGTATGCACGCATGTGTCATCACTGAATCACTCAGTATGCACGCATGTGTCATCACTGAATCACTCAGTATGCACGCATGTGTCATCACCGAATCACTCAGTATGCACGCATGTGTCATCACTGAATCAGTATGCACGCATGTGTCATCACTGAATCACTCAGTATGCTTGCATGTGTCATCACTGAATCACTCAGTATGCTTGCATGTGTCATCACTGAATCACTCAGTATGCATGCATGTGTCATCACTGAATCACTCAGTATGCTTGCATGTGTCATCACTGAATCACTCAGTATGCACGCATGTGTCATCACTGAATCACTCAGTGTGCTTGCATGTGTCATCACTGAATCACTCAGTATGCATGCATGTGTCATCACTGAATCACTCAGTATGCATGAATGTGTCATCACTGAATCACTCAGTATGCTTGCATGTGTCATCACTGAATCACTCAGTATGCATGAATGTGTCATCACTGAATCACTCAGTATGCTTGCATGTGTCATCACTGAATCACTCAGTATGCATGAATGTGTCATCACTGAATCACTCAGTAAGCACGCATGTGTCATCACTGAATCACTCAGTATGTACGCATGTGTCATCACTGAATCACTCAGTATGCATGCATGTGTCATCACTGAATCACTCAGTATGCACGCATGTGTCATCACTGAATCACTCAGTATGCACGCATGTGTCATCACTGAATCACTCAGTAAGCACGCATGTGTCATCACTGAATCACTCAGTATGCACGCATGTGTCATCACTGAATCACTCAGTATGCACGCATGTGTCATCACTGAATCACTCAGTATGCACGCATATGTCATCACTGAATCACTCAGTATGCCCGCATGTGTCATCACTGAATCACTCAGTATGCTTGCATGTCTCATCACTGAATCACTCAGTATGCACGTATGTGTCATCACTGAATCACTCAGTATGCACGCATGTGTCATCACTGAATCACTCAGTATGCTTGCATGTGTCATCACTGAATCACTCAGTATGCTTGCATGTGTCATCACTGAATCACTCAGTATGTACGCATGTGTCATCACTGAATCACTCAGTATGCTTGCATGTGTCATCACTGAATCACTCAGTATGCACGCATGTGTCATCACTGAATCACTCAGTATGCACGCATGTGTCATCACTGAATCACTCAGTATCCACGCATGTGTCATCACTGAATCACTCAGTATGCCCGCATGTGTCATCACTGAATCACTCAGTATGCACGCATGTGTCATCACTGAATCACTCAGTATGCACGCATGTGTCATCACTGAATCACTCAGTATGCCCGCATGTGTCATCACTGAATCACTCAGTATGCCCGCATGTGTCATCACTGAATCACTCAGTATGCCCGCATGTGTCATCACTGAATCACTCAGTATGCCCGCATCTGTGAATTCTTGACAACCCAGCCATGTCAGTGCCTTTATTGCAGCCAGTGTCTTCACTGTCAGGCTGCTCAGGCCGCTCAGGCTGCTCGGGCTGCTCAGACTGCTGGATGTAACAACAAAGGCACCTTCATTGATTGAATGGTTTTTCCCTTTGTGCTCACAGTGAACATTGAAAGAAAAAAAAAGCTTCAAAGAATCGACCCAGAAAATACAGAAAATGAAGCCACACAATAAACAAGCTATTATTTGCAGATGATCAGTGCCTGTTATACAATGAGGGAAGCAGACTGTGAATTCATTTGAATAGGCTAACATGCAGAAGACATAATATGAAAATAAACACAGCCAAAACTGAAGTTATGCAGGAACCTAGTCAGCTATATATATACAGGGTTGAATGGTACTTGTCTGAAGCAAGTTAAACAATTGAAATATCTAGGAAGCACATGCATTTTACAAACAGCACATTCATGCCAACACTGTGCTACCAGTGCCAAACTCGTGCTACCAGTGCCAAACTCGTGCTACCAGTGCCAAACCCAGAACATTATCAAAGGATAACCTACGTTAAATTACCATCTATGAAATGAATATCAGAGAAAACAGGCCAACTAAATGATCCGGGAGAAAGTGAGAAATAATGATCCCATCAGACAGAGTGGGGGAACAGCCCCATGCACCAAATTCAGATGCTACACATGAAAAGATCTGATTTGAAAGCAAGAGGTCACACTGGACTGATGACATTAAACACTTTCTATTTCAACATGGAATAACAATAACTAATGCTACCCATCAAACAATAACTCATGCTACCCATGAAACAATAACTCATGCTACCCATCAAACAATAATTCATGCTACCCATCAAACAATAACTCATGCTACCCATCAAACAATAATTCATGCTACCCATCAAACAATAACTAATACTACCCATCAAACAATAACTAATGCTACCCATCAAACAATAACTCATGCTACCCATCAAACAATAACTCATGCTACCCATCAAACAATAACTCATGCTACCCATCAAACAATAACTCATGCTACCCATCAAACAATAACTCATGCTACCCATCAAACAATAACTCATGCTACCCATCAAACAATAACTCATGCTACCCATCAAACAATAACTAATGCTACCCATCAAACAATAACTAATGCTACCCATCAAACAATAACTCATGCTACCCATCAAACAATAACTCATGCTACCCATCAAACAATAATTCATGCTACCCATCAAACAATAACTCATGCTACCCATCAAACAATAACTCATGCTACCCATCAAACAATAACTAATGCTACCCATCAAACAATAACTCATGCTAACCATCAAACAATAACTTATGCTACCCATCAAACAATAACTCATGCTACCCATCAAACAATAACTCATGCTACCCATCAAACAATAACTAATGCTACCCATCAAACAATAACTCATGCTACCCATCAAACAATAATTCATGCTACCCATCAAACAATAACTCATGCTACCCATCAAACAATAACTAATGCTACCCATCAAACAATAACTCATGCTACCCATGAAACAATAACTCATGCTACCCATCAAACAATAACTCATGCTACCCATCAAACAATAACTCATGCTACCCATCAAACAATAACTAATGCTACCCATCAAACAATAACTCATGCTACCCATCACACAATAACTCATGCTACCCATCAAACAATAACTCATGCTACCCATCAAACAATAACTAATGCTACCCATGAAACAATGGATGGCAAATTGTTTTTCCCCAGGATGCTTTATGGCAAAAGTTGAAATTACAGATAAAGATGAATGAACAAACTTTATTTTCAAGAGTCACAAACTGGGCACGCAGGCCCATCTTACATTCGGCTTCCTAACACCATTCTTTCACAGATGGCAACTATCAGGATATCATTCAGGTAGTGGATATAAAATATGTTTGGCAAAAAGCAAAATACACTGTGCCAGGGCCAGATGGCGTCGGCTATGCCCACATCAAGAGCAATGACTTCCTGTACTGGCTTTGATCCAATTTGACTGGGTCTCTCTCCATACAATGGCTAGCCAGCTGTCAAGAGCATCACATGAAGCACATAGCTTCAGTGATAATCCTCATAAAAACTGCACTCGTGAACCAAACACTGCAGCCGTAAAACGAACAGATGACATTCTGAGCATGAGGTTAATGGAGGTATGCAAAAATGAAGGGCATTAGTGATGAAGACTTGAGGGCAATGGTCTTTTCACTTTAAAAAAAAACCAGTTGAACAGCCTTTGATACAAAGCTATTTAATCCCACTTCCAACACCAGCCAAAGATCATTCGAGACTCAGCATTTTCAGGATTATCACAGCAGTAAGTTTGCTCAGGGTCCAAAATGTTGGAAAATGGGGATTGTCACAGTTCAGAGGATATAGCCTCAGCATGGAAAGAAGACTCATACAACCGGCAGGTGACCTGCAGGCCCCCCTGCTCTTGTAGAGCCTTGCTCTGCAGAATACTTCTGGCAAGGTTCTGGAGATGATTACTGCTCTTAAACTGCAAACGTTTTTGGAAAGAGAAGAGCTCTTGCCAAAAGGTTTGAGTAGTTACCGGCCATGTAAAGATACCTGGTCAAATGCAGCTACTTTTGCTGTTGATGTTTATGGAGTGTTCCAGAACAGACCGGAGATGGTGGGTGGTGGCAGCACTTGATCTAGAGAATGCCTTCAATGGTCAGATCTAACATTTTGAGCTTTGTGCTCAATGACAAGGGGATCTGTCCACAGCTGCTGAACTAGCAGCTGTCATGCATTTATATATAGCTGCCCTCCGACTGGGTACACAGACCTCATAAACATGCAGTATTACCTCTGGACTACCAAAGGGTTTTGCAATTTCAAGTGTTTTCATATATACAAGCCAGATTGCAGAACTTCAGGTGTTGGAAGGATACTGACATTTTCAGAGGATGTTCTTGCATATAGACAGGTGACAATAGGCAACAGATAGCCCAAGAACTACAGGCAACTGTAGATGTGACAATAGGCAACAGACAGCCCAAGAACTACAGGCAACTGTAGACAGGTGACAATAGGCAACAGACAGCCCAAGAAATACAGGCAACTGTAGACAGGTGACTGGCCAGTACACAGATATGGGTACTGTCAACAACTCAGAAAATATGGCTGTTTTTGTTGTACTCTCTGGACAACAGAATTGATAAGAGCTGAGATCCCAAGCCTCACAATAAATAACAGAAACATTAAAAGTGAAAGCTACCTGAGGTACCTGGGTATCATGTTTGATAGAAGCCTGTCTTTCAGGGATCATGTCAAGGCAGTGCCGCAAAAAGCTTAAAAAGGGACTCTGTGCACTTAAGATTATGACAGCAACAGATATAGGGGAAAAAAAGAATGCTGTTTACAATGTTCCAGCATGTGATCCTGTTGGTGACAGATTATGGACTTGGAATGCTTACTGTATCCGTCAGATGATGAAACTTGAACGCATACAGAATAAAGCCATGCGGGTAATTCTGGATTGCACAAGAGACACCCCAGTAGTATGTATGGGATACATATGGTGAATGGATGCCGTTTACTACAAAAAAGCCTGCACATGGTACCATAACATCTAGTTTGAGAATAGTGGTAGAGGAACTCACCACAGCCTTCTGTTAGCTTAACAACTGGCTACATACACATGTCCTGGTTATAACTGATTC